CTCTTCTATGGTCTTAAAACTATAAAATTCCAGAGAGATGAAACTTTTTGGGTATAAAAATGCAGTACTTTGAGGATTTGAAGTATTTAAAGGTGTAAAAACCAGTATTTTAAGAATTTTAAAGGTATAAAAAGCAGTATTTTAAGAACTTTAAGTATTTAAAGGTGTAAAATTCAGTATTTTAAGGATTTCAAGTATTTAAAGATACAAAACTCAGTATTTTAAGTATTTAAAGGTGTAAAAACCAGTATTTTAAGGATTTAAAGTATTTAAAAGAATGCTAAAAACCAGTATATAAGGATTTTAAGCAGTTAAAGGTCTAAAACCCAGTATTTATGGATGTTAAGTATTTAAAGGTATAAAACCCAGTATTTTTAGGATTTTTAAGCATTTAAAGATATAAAAACTAGTATCTTAAGGATTTTAAGTATTTAAAAAAACACTTTAAAAAGTATTTTAAGGATGTTAACTATTTAAAGATCTAAAACCCTGTATTTTAAGGACTATAAGTATTTAAATGTATAAAAACCAGTATTTTAAGAATTTTAAAGGTATAAAAAGCAGTATATAAGAACTGTAAGTATTTAAAGGTGTAAAACTCAGTATTTTAAGTATTTAAATGTGTAAAAACCAGTATTTTAAGGATGTTAAGTATTTAAAGGTCTAAACCCCAGTATCTTAAGGACTTTGGGCATTTAAAGATATAAAACCCAGTATATAAAATCCCAGTATATAAAAACCCAGTATATAAAAGCCCAGTATTTTAAGTATTTAATTGTGTAAAAAACAGTATTTTAAGGATGTTAAGTATTTAAAGGTCTATATCCCAGTATCTTAAGGACTTTGGGCATTTAAAGATATAAAACCCAGTATATAAAAACCCAGTATATAAAAACCCAGATATAAAACCCAGTATATAAAAACCCAGATATAAAAACCCAGATATAAAACCCAGTATATAAAAACCCAGTATATAAAAACCCAGATATAAAACCCAGTATTTTAAGGACTGTAGGACTGCAAGTATTTACAGATATAAAAACCAGGATTTTAAGTATTTAAATGTGTAAAAACGAGTATTTTAAGGATGTTAAGTATTTAAAGGTCTAAATAAACCCCAGTATCTTAAGGACTTTAAGCATTTAAAGATATAAAACCCAGTATATAAAAACCCAGATATAAAAACCAGTATTTTAAGGATTTTAAGTATTTACAGATATTAAAACCAGTATTTTAAGGACTGTAAGTATTTACAGATATAAAAACCAGTATTTTAAGTATTTAAATGTGTAAAAACCAGTATTTTAAGGATGTTCAGTATTTTAAGGATGTTAAGTATTTAAAGGTCTAAACCCCAGTATCATAAGGACTTTAAGCATTTAAAGATACAAACCCCAGTATTTTGAGGATTCTAAGTATTTAAATATGTAACTTTTGATGGATTTTATCTGCAGGCTGGCATGGAGGGAGAGCAGCACAAAGCTGATTGCAGTGTCCCACTTGGCCGGGGCCCTAATCCTGCCCTGGCCCTCCCGGANCATTATATACAAATATATATTTACAGGGAATATATATTTCTATTATAGAAATTTATATATATTTACAGGGGAAAAGTACATATATTTTTATATATTATATATGTTTTAATATATTTTCTATACTTCTATATTTTCTATTATATATTTTATTATTTTCTATTTATATTTTCTATTATCTATTTTATTATACATTTCTATTACTATATTTTCTATTATATATTTTATTATACATTCTGTTATACATACCTCATCATATATCTCATCATATATCTCATATCATTATATATCTCACTATATATCTCACTATGTATCTCACTATATATCTCACTATATCTATTTTTATATATTCAGATTCAATGCAATTATTTATTATACATTCTGTTATACATATCTCATTATGCATCTCATTATGCATCTCATTATGCATCTCACTATATATCTCACTATATATCTCACTATATATCTCACTATATCTATTTTGATATATTCAGATTCAATGCAATTATTTATTACACATTCTGCTATTCATATCTCATTATATATCTCATCATATATCTCATATTATTGTATATCTCACTACATATCTCACTATATCTATTTTGATATATTCAGATTCAATGCAATTATTTATTACACATTCTGCTATTCATATCTCATTATATCTCATTATGTATCTCATTATGTATCTCATTATATATCTCATCATATATCTCATATTATTGTATATCTCACTCTATATCTCACTATATATCTCATTATATACCTCACTATATACCTCACTATATATCTCTATCTGTTTTTATATACACAGATCCAATGCACTGATGTGTAAATGTGAATTGGGATGGCAGCACTTCCCTCTGCACTGTGAGTGCCCACACAGGTACTGGGGACATGGACAAGTGGCACCAGCAATAAAATTTATAATGCACATTTCTCCAGCCTGCTGTGTCTGCTCTCCATGGCAGGCACAGCCAGCTCTGGGTTTGGGTTTTTCATTCTTTCCAAGAAGAATTCCTGGAAGTTCAGGATAAGATCTCATTTCCTGCCTGAGCTCTTGGAGCTGCTGAGCCCCAGCAGGCTGGGATGCAGAGCTGGGGGCACTGAGGAGCTCCAGAAAATCAGAAAATCCTAAAAATCAGAACCTGATTTTATCTCCCAAACCCCAAACCCTGCTCCAGCCCTGCTTCTGCACACAGTCCATTAAACCCCAGGAAACTTCCTGGAGGTTAAATAAGGAAACACGTTGTGCTGCTGAGGAGTGTCCTTTAATCCACACAAAACATCAATTTAAGCCTTAGATTTTAAATTCTTTTTGGTTTTTACCTGTCAATAGCATTGCACTGGTAAAGTTCCTTCAGAGCTTCCAAAATGTGTCTTTCCTCAGGTGGGTCCAAATAGGGAAACCTAGGG